ACATGCACCTAATGGTATTTGGTTGGAGACCATCGTTCATACACTGCTCTTCCTTTTAGTGCAGCGGCTTAGTCTGTAAAGGTAACCTATGAACCACTGCTGATTAAAATAAAAATAAGAAGTACCACCTCTTGGTTGCACATTTTTGCAAGCTGCAGTTTACACTCATATCTGTCTAGGTGCATATAATATATGAAGTGTGGATTTTAAAGTGTATTAGAAACAAAAAAGAATCAAATTCCTCGTGTGTGTTCATATGTTTGTCTGTTAAAACTTTGCAGCCATGATGTTTGACGATGCTTCACATGTGGAAGTTGCTGCAAAGAAACTGCAAATTGCACAACGTCGATGGTTCACACACACATTCTCAGCTCTGAAAATCTGTACAGATTAGTGTCAGGTATTCAGCATCCAATCAAATGTGGAATATGGTCACAATCTCTCCTTTCTGATTTTTTAAACACTAGCCAGGATAGCGTATGATGCTACAGTGACCTTGACTTCTAAGATCATTCTTGTCCAAGCGGACGATGGTGCCAGATGTAGTGAAATTCCTGAGATGTTGCGACAGTAAGACAGACAGACAACCTGAAAACGTAAAGCCTCCGGCCGCGGCTGTCTCCGGCGTGGAGGCGTAAAACAACACTGGGCGCTTCTCTGAAACAACAAAATAAAATAGTTGACATTATTTTTGCTCAGCCTTGTTCAAACGAATGCCTTGGGTTTCAAAGGGATCCCCCACCGTCGCAGAGCTGTAAAGCCACTTCACTAATCAATCGCCGCATCTAAGTCCAGACAAGCATTCGGGCAGAGCCATATGAGGTGTGGGAGAGCCCGCCAGATTAGCTCGTGTTAATGACCTCTGGGGAGAAGCGATTCTGGGGAGATTTGCTCCAATATTTTGAAAGATTTAACCACACACACACACACACACACACACACAGTCGGACTGATGGAGGTAGATGAGCAGAACAGCTGGAATACTAAAAAATAAAAACAAAACACCCATAGAATCATAATTCATCCTGCACAAGGGTGAAAAATCCTCTTATATGAGAAGAAACCTGAAGACGCAACTTTAGAAGAACAAAATAACTGCACAAAATCACCACCACAGTATTTGTTGTCAGTAGTTAAATTAACTTTTAAGGACTTTTTTTTTTAGTATATGGGCTTTGATCAGTCTCTTGGTGTTGAAACAATGATGTAAAATAACTACAAATGTTCACAACTCACATTCTTACATGATTTTTTTTATGTGCAATCTGCCTTTGGAAATATTGGATTTTTATACTGAACTTGTTCAATCTAAATATGACTTTGTATGATTGTGGTCTCTGTTTCTTCTATTGGCACAAAGAGTAGAGGCAGTGCAACCTCTAAAGGATTAATTCTTTACTGCTTTACAGCAAAACTCAGCCTTTACAATGCTTAGCGCTGAAAAAGGCCATAAAACAACATTTGGTGTCATGAAAAGTAGCTGCTGCTTTACTGGCACTGCAGCTTGAGGGAGGAAAAAAAAAATGCACATAAAGGGTGATCCCCTAATAAAGCAGGAACACAGAAGCCCATTGGGATTTGCCTTTTCCTGTGGCATTTTCACATGTCAGTGCACCGATTAAGAGCTGCGAAGGTAAAACTGTCTCAGACAACTAACTTTCCCTTCTGTGTCGCGCTGTCGGAGTGATATAGGGCCAGCAGGTGTGACGAGCAGCAAGAGGAGGAAAGTGAAATAGCAAAAAGGAGGGCAGGTATGAATGCTAATGTGAAAATGATGCGACAAAACACGTTAACTATGCCTAACTAATCTCTTTGACCACAAATCTGTTGCAGTGCAATCCATCACGGAGGGCTCATGACAAAACCAGAATAAAAACATGACTGTAGCGTAGTTAAGCCACCTGGATCCTTTAGTCCTGCCATTATTCACTGTGCCACAAAACCGCGGCTGGTTTTTAGATCTCGTGACAACACGTGTGTTTTTGCTCCTTTTCCAGCCTTAACCTTCCAACTTTCACTGTTTATGTTGCAGTGGTTTGTGCGATCAACAGTCACAAAAAGTCAGACACACACCACAACAAACACATAGAAACAACAACCAGCTCCTTATACAACAAAATTCAAATCTACACATTTCACTGACAGTCAGCTCCTTTCTGCCGTTGCATACTTCGTTTTATGTTTGATGGCCTGTTCAGAGAATGACAACAAAGAACAGGTTTTTATCGCGCTTAAGAGCAGAACAGAAGAACTTAACACCACAACCTGTATCTTTTAACAGCATAACCGCAGAGACCCCGACAGGTGCTGAGAAAGCAACTACGGTTACAGACGAGTACTTTCACTCAGGCAGAACAAACACAAAGGCTCCGTTATTCAGTGGAAATGTGCAAGATTCATATTTCCCAAGAGTCTGTGTTGATTTTCCTTTAAAAAAAACAAAAAAAAGAAACACATGCCGAGACATAAAGAAAACTAAGAGAGAACCGTTTCCTCAAAGCTGCCTCATCCAGTTACAATCTTTTATCATATCATTGATGCTTTTTTGTCATAACAGGAGCTGATCAGCACAAACGTCACTGAGCTGGAAAGCAGCTTATATCGGCTTTAAGATGCTTTGATCCAAACAGAAATGAAAAGGCACTTTTTGTTGAGGCTGCTACAAGATTTTTTTTTATGTGCAAACTGCCTTTAAATAAATATGACTGTGTTACTTGTATTGTTACAACTTTTTATAAATGTATTTTGTTTATGTTGTTGCTATTTAATTTTCTTCTTGTCCTCATTGTCCAACAACGCTCACTACATAAAGTGCAGAAAAATCTCTAAGGCTTGATGAAATCACAAGTTGCACAGATTGGAAAAGCTCTTGAAATTGCACTGTATAAATAAAATCTGATTTGTGATGTTATAAGTACCAGCAGTATAAAGCAAATCCATTATCAAAGTGTCAAAACAAGGAAGCTGCAGAATGTCTGTGTTCTAGCAGTAAGTGTGAGCAGCGGCACAGAATTAAGCTGTGCATTAAAAGAATTTATTTACAAGACTGAACCGTGTTCATTAACACAAACTAACAAAGCTAAATAAAACCCTGATGGACATCAGGTAGGGTGGCACATCCTCATTTCGCTGCTGGTCTAAAATAAGCTGCCGACTGCAAACCCATGTATGGACTGCGGCACTCTTTTGCTTTGTTAATTAGCAAGTTACCAAATAAAATGTCACTCTCAAGATATTCATACAGACAACACAAGTTTACTCCTATTCGCTGGGTTTCTAACAACTCTTTGACCAATAAACTGGTAGAGCACACAGTAAAGTACACAGTGAGGCTGCATCTGATGCTCTCTTAAATACAGACCAGTTAATATTCACTCTTTAAGACAAATTACACTGATAATTAATGTGGACAAGTCTGGTGAATAAATATACACTCACATAATGTGTAATGCTTCAAAGAAGAATCACAACATCCTTGCAATTAAATAAACACAAGAATGTTAAAAGAAAGACTGAATACTGGGTAGAACACTTTTCTTTCTTGAATTAGCTGCAAGACGCATAAAAT